GGGCTGCTGGAGGCGGAGGAGGAAGACGAGTTTTACCAGACGACATACGGGGGCTTCACGGAGGTCGGCGGCGGAGCGCGGAGGGGCGGGGCCAGCGCTGGGGAGGCGGGGCCTGCGCAGGATTGGCTGGAAGAAGGCCGGGGGCGGGGCCGCGGAGTCTTCCAGGACGCGCTTCCCCAACCTGTCGCCCCTTGGCTGGACTGGACTCCAGGACCCATCGTCTCCATCTCACGGCTCCTCCTGGGGAGGCTCGGGTGGGAGGGCGTTGCTGTGGCATAGCCGCAGCCTCCCCATCGCGCCCCTCGGAGATGGCGGAGTACAACATCCATCCCTGGTAGGTGGGTAGGGGATGGGTGTTGTAGTCCAAAGGGGTCGTTCCCTTTCCTCACCGCCGCAGCGACCCCTGGGCCTTTCCACGAAGTCATTTCCCACAATCCCCTTATTTTCACCCCGGGTTGCCTTTTGGTGCACGATCCTGCCTTGTGCCACTCCTCCCCAGGCAGCGCCATCCGGGGGCACAGCGGGGCAGCATCCTGCTGCTTCTGTTTACTCCTCTCCTTGCCATCAGCACCTCTGTCACTTTGATCTTTGCCAAACGCCAGGAGAAGCTTAGCGGGACCAGCGGCACGGCGCCCCCCACGGTGCTTCGTTTGGTGGGGCGCTCCTGCCAGGAGGTCTGGGTGTTGAAGCCCCCGACCCCTGGGGACCCGGATGGGGGAGAGGGTCGAGATGGGCACCCAGGGAGGGCCCATCCGCACCTCTGCTCAGCGCTCTCACCACCGCAGCTGGGAAGGAACGTGCCCTCTGCCTAAACGTCACTTGGGGTGCTTGGCAGGAATCGGGCGACGACGAATACAAAGGGGACCAGTCCGACAGCGAAGACGAAGTGGACTCGGACTTTGACATCGACGAAGGGGAGGAGCCCAGCAGCGACCAGGATGACAGCGAGCCCAAGCGGAAGCGGAGGGTGGTGACCAAGGCCTACAAGGTGAGGTGGCCCCCCCAGAGCCGCCTGGGCTCGGTTTATTTCCGAGGCTGCTCTGGGAAGGGCAGATGCCGTTCTTCGCGGTCCCGAGACGTGAGGACCCGCAAAGACGACGGTCAGGTTTTCGTCCACTTAGCGACGTGCAGCTGATTGTTCTGAGACGCTGAGCGAGTCTGCACCTTTTGCAGGAACCCATTAAAAGCCTGAGGCTGAAGAAACCTGACGTCCCGGCCTGCAGTTCGCAGAAAACCAGAGAGGAGAGGTCAGCGCCAGTGGAGCTCCTGGAAGACGCGGCGGACAGTAAGTGTCCCTGGGGGGCCGGTGGGGGTAAAACGCCACCTTCCCTCCCCAGCCTGGGTTGGAAGCTCCCTTGCTCGGCTTCCCACCCCCTCTGCCTGCCTTCCTCCTCCACTCTCCAGGCCGGAAGCACATGCGTCAGTCGACCACGGAGCACACCCGCCAAACCTTTCTGCGCCTCCAGGAGCGCCAGGTGCAGTCCAAGCGCAAGAAGGGGGCCGGCCCAAGCTATGACAGACCGCTGACCCAGGAAGAGCTCCTGAGAGAGGCCAAGGTCACCGAGGAGCTCAACTTGCGCTCTCTGGGTAAGTCGCTCGCAAAAGCAGCTAGTCCACAAGGAGGAAGACGGAAGCTTTCTGCCAGGCAGGATGCAATTCAGTAATAATGAGGTCTCCGTTGTTGAACTGTTTCAAGGGGGTTCACCTGTGTTCCCCTCATATTTTACGGAATGTGTTGGCCGGTGTGAGGGGGAACCTGTTGGTTTCTGGGACAAACGATGTGGAGGCTTTGGGGCAGAAATAGCCATTCTGAAAAGAGAAATGCTCTCCATTCCAACCTCTGTTCCCAGCTCAATCTTGGTTTAGAAAGCAAAACGGATTCCAGGATTTGGGGCCAGAGATTTCCCAACCCTGCCAGAAGGGTTGGGGGCCAAACCTGGGAGCACGCCCCGTGCTGCCGAGTCCTGCCCTTAGAGCTTGGCTTTCCCTTGCAGAGACGTACGAACGCTTGGAAGCAGACAAGAAGAGGCAAGTGCAGAAGAAGCGGAAATGCACGGGCCCCACCATCCGCTATTATTCGGGGACAATGCCCCTCATATCCGACCTGGGCTACAAGGAGGAGAACGTGGATGTGGAGGGGTAAGTCCCTGCTTCCAGCGGACGGCAGAGAGCAGCAGCTTGGCCCAGCCCTCTGACGGCACTGAGGACTCTTGGCTGCCGTTGTGGGTCCTGCCCCAAAGGCCACTTCACAGCAAAGGTCCTCAGGCCCTTCCGGATCTGAGAGCCAATCTCAGCGACTCACTTCTCCCCCTTAGGTTAGAGCAGGAGGCTCACCCGGAGGCCCCCTCGGCTGCTGCTCCGGCCGGGAAGTGTTCCCGCACCTTCGTCACGTTCAGCGACGACGAGACGTTTGAGCGGATCTTCCCCAAATCCCCGCCCCCCAAGCTGCCCGTGAAGGAGATCTGCCCCGTCACCCACAAGACTGCCATCTACCGTGACCCCATCACAGACATCCCGTACTCCAACATCCGGGCCTTCAAGATCATCCGGGAGGCGTACAAGAAGTACATCACAGCCCATGGACTGCCCAGCGCGGGTGCCTCGGCCGCCCCGGCGGCCGGGTCGCCCGCGCGCCGCCCCTGGCGGCGGGGGCCACCGCACAAGGTCATCAACAAGACGAT